AGCCCTCCCATAGCCCCCTCCCAGTGCTGTTGCTGCCCACTCTGAGCACAGCCCAGCCCAGACTCCACTGGGAAGAGCCTGGCACTGCCCCTGCCCCAGCCCGCAGTGGCAGCCAGCTCTGCCACACACGCAGATCTGGGGGCACCCCCCACCATGCCTTCCCAGGGGAGTGTGCAGCAGTGGGAGATGCACACATCCCCCGGATGAGCCACTCGCCTCTCCATGGCTGTGCACATGGCATGGGCCAGGGCTGTGCACATGGCATGCAGGGCCAGTACAGGGCATGACCTGCTCATGGCGCACATGTTGGATCCACAGCTGCATATGGTACAGGGGATCCAAGCTGCATACAGCACCCCAGACCAACTTCCTTGTGCTGCCTGCAGGGCTAGGTCCAGCCTGCGCAACGTAGGTAGCGCATGCCCAGTGCCAGCCCTGCATGCCGAGCAAGGCCTGGGGTCGCCATGATCTGCACACAATGCTGAACTAGCTGTGCATGCTGCATACAGCATAAAGGGTCAACATGGGTCATGCACTGCAGCACCCCACCAGACTGGCCCTGTGCACTATGGCTCTATAGGCCAGATGCAGTCATGGGCCATGTTTGATGACCCTTCACATATGTTTAAACCTTCACATACAACTGCTAAGTATAAGACCCCAAAAACTGCCACAACTAAGTCATCTCATAAGTAACAGAAGAGAAGACAAGGGCACTGTCAATGCCCCCTGCCACCATAATGACAGAGAAGTGGTCAGTTGACACATGCTCAGAAGATTCTAAGGAAAGGAAATCCCCATCTCCTCCTGGCCCATGCCAATCTGAATTTCATAGATATTAGGACTGGAAGGAACCTCGGAAGATTGAGTCCAGCCCCCCTGCCCGAAGGGCAGGAAGTCAGCTGGGGTCATAGGATCCCATCAAGATAAGCATCCAATTTACTCTTGAAGGTGTTCGATATAGGTGCTTGAACCACCTCCAGTGGCAGGCTATTCCAGACCTTGGGGGCTCAGACAGTAAAGAAATTCTTCCTTATGTTCAGCCTTAAACGGTCTTGCAGTAGTTTATGACCGTTCAACCTTGTCATCCCTTGGGGCGCTCTGGTGAACAAACGTTCCCCCAGATACTGGTGGCCACCCCTGATAAACTTATAGGTGGCCATCAGATCACCCCTGAGCCCCCACACCTCAGAACACGCGCACACAGACATGCATAAAAAATTTGTTTTGGATAGAGAGCAACACCATTTCCATTTTTTCCCAGCCAGTCCTCCCTAAACAACTTATGTCCATCCATGACAGTATCCCAGCCATTTGAGCTTATCCTTCTAAGCTTCAGTGATCCCAATTAAATCAGGAATCAGAACTTGTGATAGAGGTGATATCTTTTTAGACCAACTAGATATTTGCAAAAAAAATTCTTTATTTGCAAGCTTTCAGGCCCCAGCAGCCTTACCTGGAGTCCTGGGGGCCTCCTGGAGCTCCAGCAGCAGGGACCCAGGCATATGGATCCTGGCTGGCAGTTGGAGCAAGGCTCTCGCTGGCCAGACTCCGGTTTCAGACAGTGCATGCTGCTGCCACGTGTCACACTGCTTTTTTCAGCACATACTGCTACCACCATGCAGCAAATTAGCAGCACGGCAAATGCCTGCATGTGCAGCACATGTGGTCTGCAGTGCTACAGAGGAAGGCAAAACCCTTCAAAGTTCTTGCCAATATGACCTGGGGGAAAATTCTTTCAGATCAAATCAGGCAATCCGTTTGACCCTGAGCAAGATCCTCCAACCAAGAGGCTTTTAAGTCCTGATAAGACCAAAAGTGCACTGCTGACAAAACTCAAACTGCCTTTTGCTGTAGGTGAAGTGTACTGTTTTGGAGGAAGGTAAACAAACAAACAAAAAAGCAGACTTCAGAAACCTATAAAATATTGTGGGGGGACATAGCAGATGGTTTCCTATAGAACCCTTGCTGATGATCAGCAAAAGCTCTGAAGCATGAGGTTACAAGGCTCCTCCTGCACAGAAAACAATTTACCACTTAACTTCAATATGGGCAATGGATGATATGTGAATTCAAATACTTGCAAGTTGATTAATTCAAGTTACATATGTCCTGTCATACAATCCCTTCCATGAACTTACTGAATTCCATCTTAAAATGACTGAGTTTCATTGCCCGCACTACTTGGTGGGTAGGACCATTCCAAAACATCAATTCTCTAACACTTACAAACCATCTTCTAAATTCTACTCTAAAATTCTAATATAATAAAGGGCTTAGTCTGTCTGTGTGTCCATAATGCTTTTGACCAACTGCGCATGCACCACCGAGAGGGTGGGCGGCGATTGGCTGCGTGGGCCCAAGTTTGAGCTGCTGTCAGGGAAGTTTGTGGTGACAGCGAACACACCCCGGCCACCTTAGCAGTGGGGCTTCCCTGCGCCTCCCTTTCTGAGGACAAAGGGGGAGGTGTGGTCAAGGTGGCGGTGCCCCCACCCCCCGCTGCCTGCCCCCCATGCTCCCCTGAACAGCTGGGCAGGGAGGGGGGAGGCAAAGGGGGGGTTGTCACATTAGCAACTGTTGTCAGATTCAGGGAGGGAGGGAGGGGAGCAGGAAGGGTGCCCCAACAACAGTCGACAGGGAGGGGGAGACGGCAGGGAGAGAGGCTACACAGGCCTGGGTGGGCACGGGGCAGAGAGAGGCAAAGGTGGGGTCATGGTAGTGGCTATTGTTGGGGCCGGGCGGCAGGGAGGGAAGTGGGGAGGAGGGGTCATGGTGGTGGCACCCCCCCACCCTGACAACAGCTGGTGGGGAGGGAGGGAGGGAGCAAGGAGGGGAGGCAGGGGGAAGCCCTGCTGCGAGGTGGAGGCAGGCAGGGGGAGGGAGCCCCCGTGCCAGAAGCGGTGGTGGAGGGAGTCTTTACATGGCTGGCCCTGAAGGCCACACCACACACACATATGTAGACATACATATATACATAGAAACACATACACATATACATATAGACACACATACATATCTATCTATACAACTCAATGCCTTGTACAGTGGTACAAATACTTCCTTGTTTCTATGGAGTAAAACCCACTTATTACACCCTGAATTGTATTAATTTTTTCACAGCTGGATCACTGTGATGGCTAAAAGCCAGGGGCAGATCCAAGGGTGGGTGCACTGATGCAGTTGAATCCCTCTTTGATTCCTGCTCCACCCAAACCAACTGCCTAGGAGGGGCACCAACAATTATGTTCAGGCAGACCTGAGAGAGTCAACTGACTTCATAGTTTATCATCATCTCCCAGATGTTAATGTCCCCCTATTCTTTTTAATCACCTTTACATTCCACAAATCATACTATCATTTTTTCTCCAATTTTGCTGTCTGTTAGCTATTCCTAGTATGCCTCTCTCCTATTTCACAGCCCTACAGACTGTTTTTAGTTTTAACTAAAAACCTTAATTCAGATGTGGTAATATTAACTCAGGTGCAGAAATGACTGACAATGAAGTACTGGAGGTACTGTCAAGACATTCAAGAAAATTAGATTTTGTTTTATGAACCTAAATAAGAGATGTACATTACACTATAACTACTACAGGACTAATGACACATTATCACCTGACTGTTTTGACTCTTTATTGCCTATTTTTGTGGTTTTAAAATTTAAGATATAATCCAGCAAATTAGTGCACATTCCAATAGTTGTTTTTGCTTTGATCTTAAACTAAATAATATAGTGCTAGCATATTAGTAAAGTTTCTAGTTTCTCTTTAACTGGAGAAAAATGTGTATTGTATTAATATGTAATGATATGCCAAACTATCTGCACCCCCCTTTCCAAAAGCATATATCCACCCATGCCCATGGCCATTTTGTGATCAACCAAAGTACACTCAGGTCTTCTACTTCCTCCATTGCCCCAAGTCTATGAGCCTTGATCTTGGAACAAAAGATCCTGACATTCATAGTATTAACCTTCAGGGTACTC